GGGCCACTCAGCATTGTGGCGCCTGAAATGGCAGGGTCAATGTTGTTCTGATCTCGCGGACTCGTGATATTGGGTTGCATATGCGGAGGCGGTGCCGTCTGCGGTTGCGGGCGCGGTTGCTGTGGGTGAGACATATGTTGATGAGCAGCTAGCAGCTGATCGTGCAGCACTGGTACAGATGTCGCATTAGCATCCGGGTCTCGCAAGTCAAGGTAACTAGGTTGGCGAAGTTGGCCGTCAACAGACGCGCCGGTTGAGTCGATCCCAGCTACGCGAGAAATTTTCCGGTCGCCATAGCTCATGTATCGACTCAACTCCAATACTGGGTCAAGAGGTAAGAGCTTACCCTGATCCGCATGATCCTATGAGACAGATCAATGTTAGCATCACCATCACTGTTGATCATTCAGGTAATCGTCGCGACGCGACCGGGGAGGCGTTGAAGACAGTCGCGTCGTCGATTCTCGGGCGTAGCCCCCATCGTGGACCCAAATCGCAGCCGAAGCGACCGTGAGAACAGACAGAATAGGGACCGATGTCTGCAAGCAAATCACTCGGGAACGATCTGGGGCAATGGGTGGATGGGACAAACGCGATCTGATGACAAACCGCGACACGATTAGGCTGCTTACCTGAGCAGAGGTTTGCATGCTTGGATGCGGCGCTGGGGCTAGTGTGGGCTGCATCGAGAGTATAGGATTCGAAAACAACGAGGATGCGCCCAAACAGAACAAAATATCACCAATTCGAGTCGGGCAAGGGGCCGGTCGAACAGCTCAGCTTGTATAGATGTCCTGGTCTGTTAAGAAGGGAGAGAGGATGTAGAGAATGACAAGGGAAACGGAGGAGAGGGAGAGGATGAGGTAAGCAGACGACGTCGGAGATAGCTTTCCTGGAAGTGGAAGTGCTAGCGCTAGTACGGTACTTGGTGAGGTACGAGTTATGTCCGTTTCGCTCTGATAGTCCAAATGCTGACTATTATTGGCGTTGAATAAACCTGGGGGGGAAAGGGAAGGGAGGGGAGGACTGATCTCGTAAGCAAGTGAGACTGGAAGGGAGGGGGGGGGGAAGACGATTAGTTAAAGTATCAGTCAGACGGTGACGTGTAGGACGGAGAAGGAAGAGAGGGAAAGGGAAGAAGGGAAGGAAAAAGGTCCACGGTCACCAACAATTGTTGAACACCACCTCCCCCCGGTAGCTCCTCCGGTAGGGGCTGGAATCCAGTGAATCAGGATTGCCTCAGGTGTCCAAGCCACATTCCGGCACTCAAGACTTGAGTGCGTACGCCCGGCGGAATAGACTAACTAAACTCCTATTTGGGTTGTTTAGTTCTTGGCACGATTCCCCAACTTCCGACAATGACTTATGCGATGACTACGGAGAGATGACTCCGACTGGTATGTACCTAAATATTTCTAGTAACTATATGGTAGAAGTAGCTGACTACTAAGAACTTAGCCTGCTTCGTAGGATCATTCGACCATCTCTCTCTATTGTAACTGTAGCTATTCTGGTTGTTCTTATTCTTGGTTCGCGCCAAAATTGCTGACAAAGCCGCCCATCATTCCCTCGGATCGATGACTGATCCGGCATGCAGGGGCTGACTCATCCACGGTCGGCGTGCTTCCAGGCTTGCATTAAGGCCGCGGGTTGTCACAATGCAGAGGGGATTGACAAAATGGTGCAACCACCCTGGCCCAATGATCACAATTGAAAAGGATGGCGTTATCCCTTTTCAATGGGCACTATTGATGGGTACTCTCGGTGCGATGTCTCAAGGCTTCCGTCGGAGTTTCGGCATCGGAACGCCGACACCTGTGCATCCAATCACCATCCTCATTGTTCTTGCAGTTGATGAGTGAAGATCGCCTGCCAGGCAGCGGATCAATTTGGCCGTTTATTTTCAAATATGTTTGCAAATCCAGCACATTGGGCATAGAACATGTGACGACTGTTCGATACTGCTAATCTTCATATACTGCAGATAAATATGTACAGAATACAGTGGATCATGAAACTAATAAACAAAGGTATGAACTTGTCACTTTATCACAACAAGTCATGAGCTGTATATGAACAATCCCTTTCACACTGGTCACCACCCGGCAGCACAAGCATCATAGTACACAACATTCAAGGGTCGAAAAGATGTCTCTTCCTCACTGCTGCTTCTTGGCGTTCGAGTCTCTCTTGAGCGTTTTGATGATCGTTGCGCCGACTTGGGAGGATTCCTTCCACCCTTTCTGCCGCATCCAGAACCGCTCAGCGGGATCCGTGTCATGAGTCGCCCAGGAACGAGCGTCGTCCTCCAGGGTATCACGAGTCAGCTGGGAAAGCTGCTCCGACTGGTCCTCTTTCTCGTCGACATCGGTCTCATCGTCACTGCTTCTGGCTCCAACCGTGGACTCCAGATACCTCTTTCGCACAAGGTATCGCTCGGTCTTCTCCTTGCGCACATTCGGAGGCTCAAGCTTGGCCATGGCCGCTCGCACTGCATAGCGCACGATAAGGTAGATATGCTCGCAGAAGAAAATAGTCAGAAGCAAGGCCCATCCTTTGATCGTAGTCGGCTCGCCACCGGGTCCCTCGTGGCTGGTGCTGAACATGTACGCAAGTGCTGCGGTAGTGATGCTACCAACCCACGACAGGAACCCAAGGCTATCCAGCCAGGGGCCAATTGTCTCCGCGCGTTGCGGCCAGGGTCTCTTGCACTCGACGCAAATCTTAAAGAAGTCGGACCGGAGTTCAATCCAGTTATTGATCAGGAACGAAACGGGAACGAGCGGCCAGACCGGAGAGAATAGAGCCAAGTAACCAAACTGGATGCACATCTCGCGCAGATCGTCGGTCACATCATAGTCAGACAAATCGGCCTCATTGCGGACGCGAATGAGGAACTTGGTCTCATCGGGGTGGTCGTCGAACAAAGCCTCTGGCGATTCCTCTTCTTCAGAGCTGGAATCCGACTCCACCTTTCCGTTCTTCTTGCGAAGGTAATCTTTGTATTGGCGTAGAAGACGCTGCTTCAGAAAAGGTACGACGGTCTCCATGGCGAAGCCGACTACCTGAGCTGTGACGGTGAAATAGATGACTTGCTTCCGTAGGCGGTCGGGGTCCATGCTGAATTCAGTACGTGACTTCGTAGCAACCTCTTTCGAGACAAATGGACGAACAGTCACCTGGAAAATGTCAAGGTGTGGCACAATCCGGCTAGCGAAGGGCACGTAGACAAAGGCGGTCAAGAACACAGGGAGGTATGATGTGATAAAGTTGATAACGAAGATCTTCTGCGTCAATGCGACATCGTAAGCTTGTTGTGATTCGTAGTTTTCGTAATCGTTCAGCTTGGTCGCAACCGACACCAAGACCGTACTCATCGTTGGAATCAAGGCCGAGAGCAAGATAGTGGGAATGAAGACCTGATCCGTCAGCTTATTTGAACGAAGTAACACGAGGTACTAGCGAGGCCTACCAAGTACGACTTGAGTGGCCCGTTATAGATCTCAGAGATGAAGATCTCAATGGCAAAGCATGTCGCAATAATAACTCCCAAAGCGATGATGGACAGCAAGGCGAAGGGGACCTGGAGCAACTGTCTGCACATGCGCGTTGTCGCTGGAAACACGCCCTTGATCTCTCCGGTACTCTCGTCCCGGATCTCTCTTTCCGGCCTAAACTCGCGCCGTTTCTCGCGGACGGCGGAAACTCCTTTGGTCTGCCATCGACAACTCAGGTCCTCCTCCTGCCGTTTCCAGTATTCAATAAACACGATGCACCAGAGGCAGTTGACCACGGAGTAAACAATTGAGAACGACCCAATCAGAAGCCAGCAGGAAAACCCAAAGATCGCGGGAAACAGGAGGAATCTGAAGTAAGACTGAAGGAACGAGAAGTAAAAGCCGACCTAGAGTTCCGCACGGTTGTTAGTCTCCAGACACTGTACTGAGCATCGAGTCCGTGAAGGGTACCCACACTCTCTCCGAAGATATTGCGTATCTGATCTAGATCCTCCGGGGACAGGAACGTCTTCTGGCTCCAGTCTTTCATGCACTGCTTGTTCATCTCCTCGTCATGCAAGGGAAAGATCGAATCCACGTTCTTCCACTCCCCATGTTTCGGGGTGATACCAGCGCCGCCAGCCTCCTTAGGCACTGTCATCATGTGGTAGATGACGCGCAGTCGCTCCGACTCGGACTGCGGCTCGGCCGAGGATTCCGGCTCGGGCTCGGTGTTGCGGACGCCATAGAGCCAGTCGCGGATTCTGCGATAAGAATAAAGAAGTCACAGTAAGCGACAAGTCCTTCATAGAAAAAGACGCAGGTAAAGGACTCACCGGGACTGATACACTGCGCGTTGGAGACTCTTCTTGCGCGCGGCACGGACAAAGACCAGCAGAGATGTTTCGTCACCCTGCCTCACTTCGGTTTGTAATCCAATTTCAAACAGCTTATGCAGCAGTCGTTCTAGTTGCTCCGTAGTCTGTACGATGTCTACACTGGGTCAGGGCGGGGAAAATCAATGATTATAGCCAGCCAGGTACGGTGGCGCCCTTACCATTATCGCCAAAGTTATAACGAATGACGTAGTCGACATAGTGGTTATTATGCACGGGATCGCGAGGAGTTGTAGAAGCCATATCAGAGGGAATTGCAAGCTTTCAAGTCATCCGTGCAATTGAATAAGGTGGTGAGCTCTTATCCAAGAGATGGTCGCTGCTTGAAGCTTTTATCAGGGGATGTTTTGGGGGGGGTTCCCTTCCGCCCGCGATGACGACGTCACCTTCGAAGCTTGACTGTAGGGTTAGCCCTGGGCGGTGGCTTGGACCCTCCCCCTCCGTCACTATGCATTCATCTGCCCTCTGGATCGACCCGATCGTCAATTGTCTAAGATCTGGATTCTATTCTCGTGGTCGCATGATACTCAAGTACAACAAACTTCCTCGATCTCACATCCTACAGAGTAAATGCTAAACACTAAGAATTCTATTCTGCATATCGCTCGAAACGTGATCCTCACTCGGGGGTATTTTAATGTATGTATGTACATGTTCAGCGATTGAAAAATGAAACATAGCCAAGGGGTTACCGAATTCCAGTCCTTCCTGCTGAGAGCCTCGAAAGCGACTCTTCTGAGAAGTCGACCAGCGCAAACCACGACACAACCCGCAAGACACTTGGTCACTTAACGTGTCAGAAGGGCATTGGTGTGTGTCCTCCCGAGGCCGGACTCACAATAATCGCCTGATGATTCACGAACCAGAGTCAAAACTCGCGCGCGATCAGATTCCTTCCGCAAGCTTGTTCAAAGCGGGTCCCTCCATCATCATCTTGGTCCACTCATCCATCGCTTTGGCGCCCACCTGCTCGTAGAACTTGATGCTTGGCTCGTTCCACTTGAGGACGCTCCATTCGAGCCGTCTGCCGTTGACCTCCAGGACCTTAGCCGCAAGGTACTTGAGTAGCTTGAAGCCATATCCGTTGCCGCGCGCGCTCGGCTGTACGTAGAGGTCCTCGAGGTAGATGCCCGGAGCGGAGCGCCAGGTGGAGTAGTTGTAGAAGAAAAGGGCCATGCCCACTGGCAGGGGGTTGGGCTGCTCCGCCGTTGCCGGAGGGATAACGAGCGCAGTGTAGACAGAGCCTCGCTTGGGGGTAGAGTCGGGGAATGACAGAGTTGCCAGGAGAGACACCTCGGTTGCCTCGACTTCGTGGAGAGCCTTCTCGTAGTCGGCAAGCTCGCGGATAAATTGAAGGATGATGGGGACGTCTGCATTGATCCGGTCAGTGAGGCTGTAGCGTGACATGGTCAGTGAGGGTACTGGTAGGCCTACCCTCAGGCGTCGCGAGACGAATTGTAGGTTGTGCAGACATCGTGCAGAAGGAGGGATGCAAGATAAGGTGTCAGTAAATGATTTACTTGGGGGATGTAGCCATGAGGAGAACGAATGTCCTTCTTATAGTAGTGTCTCTGGCTTCCCCGAATCCGAAGACCCGCCTGGACCGATGGGTCTTTTCCCCACCAGATCCGTCTCGAGGCCGGCTCTCTTTGGCTGGAACTCCACGCCTTACGGAACTTCACGCCTTACCTTTGACTTTCCCGGTGTCCAGAGTGACTCAGAAAGAGCGCGCATGTATACACTGGGGAATCGTATAGAAGAATGAAGAAGACGAAGGGAGAGGAAGGTGTGAATATGTGTTTGCGAAGAGATATATGCGACTATGTACAGTTACAAATATGTGCTTGAAGGCTACCAGAGCATCTACTTGGAGGAAATGGCCGACATCCATTTCTGCTCGTCCGTTCTATGACAAGGTTAGCTGTTTATACGATATGCAAAGGGATGTGCATAATACTGACCGGTCAAAGTGCAGCAGCATGCCGAGAACGGGAATCAGCTGCTTCTGATAGTTCTTATCCTTCTGCTCCAGGAACTGGAGAAGAACATTCTTCAGATAAATGTAATCAATGGACCCTGCGCCGACTCCAGTGGGCGTCCCGCTGCGTGTCGACGGACTGTGCTCCTTCGCAACTGGGGAGGTGATGGTTCTTCTAGAGCCAGAATCGATCGAGGACCGTGACGACTGTGCAGTGTGACCGAAGCGACCTTCATCCGGAAGCAGCTTGTTCGATTTACGCAGCTTTTCCAAACGGGAATTCGTTTCCTCGACGGATCGGCGCAGCTCGGCTTTCTCCTTCTCAAGGTCGCGCACCTGCTTCTCGCTTTCATCCAGCGAATCGCGCAGACCTGCCATGGCCTGTCGCAGATCGGCAAGCTCCTGGGTCGTCTTCTCAGATTCGGCCTCCAGTTGATCCCGTCTACGTTTCCAATCCTTCTGAGTCTGCTCCAGTTCCTCTTTATCCTGCTCCGCACTGCGCAGAGCTCGCTCGGCTTCGCGTAGCTTACTCTTCAGGTCTTCCAGCTCACGCGCACGGCGTCGACCCTGAGCACTGGCTTCATCCTCGGCGCGATCTCGCTCCTCAATGGCGGCTTCCATACGTTCCTTGAAATCGCGCACCTTGGCATCGGTGCGACTTTCGATGTCGTTCAGAAGACGCCGCATGGTCTCTCCTTCGCGAGTGCGTTCGCTCAGCAGCCGGTGAGCATCCGCCAATTCTTCTTCGAGACTTTCGCAGCGTTCGCGAGCCTCCTTCATCTGCATACCCAATTCAGCAGCTTGGTCGCGCATACTATTCATCAAACTTTGAGCACTAGCGTGCTGGGCGGTCTTGAGTTGAATCTCCTCCCGCAGGCCTTGAAGTTCTTTATTGATCTGACTGGCCTGGGATTCGCTTTCGCGGAGCCGGGCGCGGGCGGTTTTAAGCTCCCCCTGAGTCTTAGACAGCTCTGAGGTGACCTTCTCCTTAGCCTCCGTAGCTTCCTGCTTCTTACTCTCCGAGTACCTCAGGTCAGACTGGGCGACCGTCAATTTCTCCTCGGCCTTGAGCCTACTGTCGGTTTCCTGCTTGATCTTATTATTGAGTGTCTTCACTTCTTTCTCTCGCTCAGACATCGTGTTCTTGAGGGTCTTGAGTTCGGCCCGCAGGTCATCGTGTTTGTTCTCCAGAGTTCTCAACTCATTCGTCTTGCTTGTGAGGGACTCCTTGGTGGATTTGAGCTCCGAAGATTCGGCGCGCAGCTTCTTCAACTCTGGTTGAAGTCTTTGGAGAGTCTCGCGCAAGTCCGTGATGTCTTTGAACCTCGTGGCAGCCAATTGTTGAGCAGCAGATAGCTCAGTTTCGAGCGTTGTGAGCTTGATCTTGATACTCTCGTACTCCTCCTTAAGATCATTATGCGCTTTCTCCGAATCAGCACTTTGAGACGCATGAGACGCGATGTTCGTGCGTAGATCCGTCAACTCCTTCTCCAGCTTAGAGATGGATTCCTCCAAAGCTTGCTTCTCCGCGGTCAGCACCTTCACTTTGTCCTTTGACTCCACATGCTCTTGACCTATGTGAAGCAGGTCGTCACGGAGGGACTCGATCTCCTCCTTCAGGTCTTCCTCGCCCTTGAGTTTCGAGCTGAGACGGTCGATAGCGGCATCCTTCTCGTCCAGCTGCTTCTTTAATGTATCAATACTTTCTTCCAGCTCAGCCACCTTCGCTGTCAATTGTGCAGAAGCAGGTTCCGCGCTTGGCGACGGATCCCGGTCAGCTTCCGTTACTTTGCTAGCCTCTTCGCCGCCCTTGGCACCGCCAGCCCCTCCCTTCTTCTTTTTCTTGTTCTTCTTTTTACCACTTCCCGCAGCGCTTGGCGGGTTCACGACCGGCTTTGCAGTCTCCGTCGGTTCTTGCTGAGCTTCAGTGGCGTTAAGGCTGGGAACTAAGCTCTCACGGAGTTCATCGAAATTAGCTTGCTTGCCGCCAATGACTTGTTCCTTGGTCAATTGCCAGGTGGTATTGTCTTCCATATTAGTGTCGAGGAAGTCAACGACGTTTTTTAATTGCAGGTTGTCTTCCTTCTTCTGCTCAGCATCGCCCTTCAGTTTTGTCATTGCCTCCTCGCTCTCCTTCAGCTGGGATCGGAGGCTGTCGACAAGGCCCTGTAGTACACTGAGACGTTTCTCATTGGCCTCCTTCATCTGCTCCATCTTTTCCAACTTCGCAGTAAGATCGGCATCCTTCCCGGCAGCAGGGGATGGCGAGGCCTTAGCTTGCAATTTCTCGATTTCCTCGGTCCGTTCTGTCAAATCGAACTTTAGTTTCTCAATCTCCGCGCTAGTCTTCGATGCCATTTCTTCGGACTTTTCAAGCTTAGCCTTCAGATCGTCAAGCTCTCCTTGCTTGGAAGACTTCAGCTTCTCGAATTCTGTGTCCTGCTTATCCTTGAAATCACGCAGTTCTGTGAGCTCTCGGGTCGCGGATTCAAGGTTGTGAACCATGCCCTCGGTGGACTCGTGCGCCACTGCTAGATCACGCTTCAGCGACTCCATTTGAGTCTTCATGGACTCGATCTCCTCCTGCTTTTCTTTCAGCTCGGACTCCAGACGAGGGATCTCGCTATCGTAAGAAAAGAACTCTTCACTATCACCTTGGTGTTCAGCCGACTTCTTCGGTGATGCGGCGGTCACAGCAGTGTCCTCCATTGTAGACTTCTCCTCGGACTTCGCGACCGACTCACTGGCGTCCGAGGCTTTCTCATTCGATTCCTTCTCAGCCTTGAGTTGCGCAACCTCATCCAATGCAGCCTTGGTTGCCTTTTGAGCCTCTTCCAGTTTCTTCTTGTAGTCATCCCTCTCGGTGGTCACACGCTTGAGCTCCTCCACCACCATATCTCCCTTCAGCGACAGCTGGTTCAAGTACTCGGTCAGGGCTTTCGGTTCGCCGATGGATGTCAAGGGGGTATTTTCACGAAGAGCAGCTTCGAAGGGTTCGATGGAAAGGACTCGCGAGTGTGCCATGCGATAGGCTTTGAGAAGCTCTGATGATCACCGAAAGACCACATTAGTCTGCGTTGCCAAAGGCTCCCCCTGCGTGGATTGCGCTGCATACCTTGGTAGCGGGGTTCCAACTTGGCCAGCCGCCGCAACTTGACCCGAACCTCTGGAGGCAGATCCGAGGTGGAGGACTGGTTGTTGTTGTTGTTGTTGTTGTTGCCTTCCGCAGTTGCCGGGGTGGACTCCTTCTCCGTTACGGGCCCTTCCTGCCCTTTGCCCTCTCCGGCTGCCGCATTGTTGCCTTCCGGAGTTGCCTCGGAGCCTCCTCCAGCTGCGGCCTCCGGTCGCGGCGTTCCCGATCTACTCGAGGAGTCATCATCCCCAATGGCGAACTCGGGCTCGAATTCATTGGGGTCGGGGCCCCGGACGGGAGTGCCGGTGTTGCGGCGCGGGCGGCCAGAGCGGCGGGATGGGGAAGTGGTCGTGCGGTTCGAAGGTTGGCGGGCGGAGTTGGAGCGCGAGATGGAGGTTTGGGCGGAGCGTTGACGGGCTTGCTCCTCGGCAATCCGCGAGTCGATCGCGTCGCGCAAACGCTGTGTTGTCACCAAGACGGTATGATTAGCACGAGCAGGAGGTGCACGAGGGGTGTGCCTGATTCGGAGCGGGAGACGTTATGAGGTGCTGTTACCTGAAACATGGCCGAAGCGGGCCTGTGAGCCAAGGCCACGGCAAAAAAGTTGATAAATGAGAGACAGAAGAGGAGAATGCGCCCGAGGAGGATAATACAGAGGAACAAACGAAAGAGAGGGAAGAAGGGGAGTAACAGCATGTAAGGACGGGCTGGGGAGAGCTGGGGAGATTCCGCAGCAGGCGGCGCGGCGGTGGAGGCTCATACGCGGCAGTTCCAGTTGTTCAATCGCCTTTCGCTCTGGCACGGGCGGCCAAGGCGGGCGGAAACGGGCAGCAAAAAAGGGTGATTATGTGCCGATTCGGGGCGACAATCGCAGCAGCAACTTGGGCATCTTAGTTGTTGTTTGGATGTAAGTTAGCTGAGAATTAGTCTCTTGCATGGAGAGACATTAATTCTACGTCGCGCTTACATTAGCTATCGGCTCTTCGAGATTATTGATATCCATTACTAGTATGGAGATAGGAGATTCTCAGAAAGATAATAACGCGATCACGGAATATATATTGAGACGAAGCTCGAGGTCTTCTACCATTGACTCCTTATCATGATTACACAATTAGACGAAGATAGTTTTTCATACTGGAGATAGATGTGAGAACCCTGTAGTCCCCGATTGTGTGGCCATATTTGAGTATAGTGTACTACACTGAGAATTTGGCAGTGCTTAAGGTAAGAGACAACAAGCACCTCGCTCATAGTACTCCGTAACTTGTGGAAGTCTGGACCATTCTCCGAGGTTCATCAGAAACATGGACGGGGCGTTGCTACTAAGGCCAATGCGGTTAAGGGCGGTTCTTCCCCTTCCGTTCCCTTCGTTTCCATCTTGCGATAGACC